ATGCCAAGTTCTTCTCAGTCTCAGTGGGACTAAGGTTTAGTTAATCTGAAATTTTTATCTTTTGTTCATTTGCAGTTGATGCAATGGAAGGTGAGGCTTTAGTTATAAAATGTCCCCAGTGGAGTTCATCTGTGAAAGTCACCTGGTATCACACAGATACTAACAAAATAATTCCTGCAGAAGAAGAGGGATCACAAATATTTTCCTTAAAACGATTTCTTTGGTTTCTGCCAACGTCTAGAGAGAATTCTGGAAACTACACTTGTGTTATACATTTGTAAGTGCAACATTGAAAAGTGGAAGATGTAAGACTGGAAAGAAACATAAAAGTTTTAATAATGCATTCTAATTATTATCTGTGGAAATGATGCAAATTTTTTTTCATGGTATATACCAATTCATGTAACTTTTCATCCTACAATTGGTATTTTTATGACAGGTTATTGAAATCAATGTTTGACTGAACTAAAATAATTGTCCATATGTTTATAAAACAAGACTCACATTTGTTACAAATATTTAATATATTCATTTGTTACAAATATTTAATATATTCCATATAAAATTACTATCATTGACATACCTTTATTCCGTTTTTAAAGTTCAAATAATCGCACAAAGTCATTCAACATGAGTGTGCAGGTGCATCCATACAAGCAAGGAGTATGCTTCCCAAGTCAGATCCGTTACCCAAATGACACTGGAAGAGGAAAAATTGTTTGTCCTACCATTGACAATTATAAGAATGCTACTATCATCCAGTGGTATAAGGTAAATAAAACCCTGATAATGTCAGTTGTAGATCAGATTACTGTGAGCAGCCAAATAAAGAAAGTTTTCTTTTCCAGGACTGCAAACCTCTTCAGGGACAGAGATACTTCAAGGGAGAAAAATATGTTTTTATTAACAACCCAAGAAAGGAGGATGATGGTTATTATACTTGTCAATTTCTCTACACTCACAAAGGAAAGGTGTTTAATGTATCAGCAACAAGGATTTTCATAAGTAAGGGTAAGACAGTCATTTTGTAGCTTGCTAAGATTAAAAAGACTAATGTCTACTTAAAGCAAAGGAAGCTCCTTTTGTACATTAAAGAGAAAAAGCGTTTCTGTTGGTTTGTTTTATCTTCTTAATGAAACTTTAGATCAGCTTTTTTAGATTAATTTTGTGGATGGAGCAAGGTGGGAGTAAATTTAGACCTAGTCACATTCAGGTTTTTGCTGAAAGTTTCTGATTACTCTGGTTACATACTGTGGTTGGTAGAGGTGTCTGGTAGTGCTTATTGCTGAAAGGAAGGGTCTCCTGAGGAGGATGCCACAAAGTTCTGCTTTCTATTTGTTCAAGGCAAGAAGAATTTCTAGCTAGTGAGGATCACCTGGTGATCATTGGATCTTTGATTTGTTGATGGCCTACAACTCAATAGTTTCTGGTCCATCTTGATTATCTGGCATTTATTTGATAGTAGGACTGAAAAATCTTTTAGATTTGTCTTGAATGAGACAAAATGAGTGAGACTGAGATATATATATATGTAGATATAATATATATAGACAGAAAATGAGTGGAACTCAGTGATTACTGTGTCTTTGTTATTTTGAACGTGGCCAGTATGGCTGAGGTGTGTAGACTTTGGGGTGCCTATAGGATGCAGTCTCCTCAGGGAGGCTTTGTGTTTGGATGGTGGTCTGGGAGAGAGAGCAGGGAACAATCAGCAGTGCCAGACTGCATCAACATGCAAAACTTCAAAGTCTTCATTTATGTCACAAGATCAGTAGAAAAATAATCAGAAAGAGGTTTTTTAGGGGGTTAGGGGACACGGCTTGGGTTTGGGTTGTATTTTTTGTGTTTGTTTGTTTGGTTTGTTGTTTTTTTTTCAATAGATAATGTTCATTTGCAGAGTGACATCAGACCTTTTTACTGTGGGGAGGCACCTAGCTTGGAACAGAATATAGATTTGGAGTGTAGGAGCTTTGATTCCACTTTTTACTGTTGTGCCCAGATCTCAGTAGTGGAGTTTGTTCTGATTATTCCGAGCTGGATAGAAGAAAGATTCAAGCTGAGACCTAGTACAGTAGCTTGGAAGGTGTCATGCCCTTCCTCCTCCTCTTCCCTGTAATACCCTGTTGGTCTACATGACACTTCCCTGTCTAACAATTTTTTTTTTAATATACTTTCATCAAAACTTCTCTAACTGGTCAGGAATATTGTTGTCTCTGGGTTATAATGAAAATTGTTGGGTTTTATTTGGTGCAAAGGCATCTAAATTTACAAAAACCTTTGTTACATATAGGCAGATTACTTAATTTTGAAATAATTGCAGAAAGATTGCAACGTAACATGAAATCTAAAATGGATCTGTCATATCTGCTGCAGTACTTAATGAATTCTTTGAGATTTTATCAGCCCTTAAAATTAGTAAGCTGATGAGTAGAGCTGTTATGTTTTGATAATATTGGCTTATGATGTACATTCCTGTTGCCTTGCAGATCTACACTGACTCAGAGGACCTTTTGCCTCTGGGTGCTGTCAGCTAAGAATTTAGCATAGTCAGCTAGCTAGGAAGTTACTGACTTTCTCCTGACTTCTTTTTCACCACATCCAGCTAATGAAAACTGGGACACACAGGTTTAAAATGAGTTCCTGCAGATTTTTTAGGGAAATATGATTATGGATTTTACAGAGGGGCCTTGAGATGGAAAAACTTAATGAGGGAAAGGATAGCAAGCAATTTGTTTGGAGTGGGAAATATAAGACAGTATAAAGGGCAAGAAAAGAAGAAAAATGCACCAAGGAAAAAAAAAAATCTGTAAGATCTGAATGTGTAATTCAAGCGAAGTGGCTGGATGTAATTTGGACCTGTCCATAACAGTTATTAGTGGGGATAGAAAACAAATATGTCAAAGAAAAAGTGGCATTCCTTCTAGAAGGCAATGATAAGGGATGCTCAATGTCATGACAGACTGGTGTAGTGGGAAGCAGTTGTGTGCAGCAGTGGCGCGCAGGGAGCAGAGAGAGAGGTTTGGGAAACAGATGTGCTCAATTCTGTGATCAGGCTGCAGAGACGGGGAAACAGGGGAACACAGGCAGACAGATGTGGGCTAGAGGATCCCCAGTTCAGATACTGAATAGAAGTACATATTAGCTATTTCATATTATGGATATTAATAATTTCTCAAATATCTGAATATATTTATCTCTTTTTTAAAAACAAAATAAGCAACTGAGAAAACACATATACCCGCATTTGCTTTTTTCCTACTTAGTAGGTAAAACAGTACTTGAGAAACTAAAACTTTTCCTTGCTTTTTATGTACAATGGTAAAAATTAAATGAACAGGGAGAACACACTTAACTATTAACACGTGCAGACTCCCCAGAAATATTTTATCATAGGAATAAAACCAGATGATCCCAACACACATGTGAAGCATTGTTGTAGTGTTAGTTTGCACTTCTTCTTAAAATCTTAAATATTAACTGTATAGATTGTAATAATTATCTTACAAAATGCTTTTTCACAACTTTCTAATATGTGCTTTCTTCCCATCCTTAATTTCTAAAGCAAAACACTCACCTCTACCTCCTCAAATTTTATTTCCAAAGGATAAAGATGTAATAAAAGTGGAGCTTGGTAAGTACAGACTTTAAATTGTTTTTAAAATAACATTCTGTGATGGCCTAGTGAACATGGGGATCTTTAAGAAGATTTAATGATAGAATGTTTCTTTATGGTTTTGCACCATAATGTTTACCAGATTTAACTCACCCTAGGCACACTGATGTGAAGTTAGATATAACTGATGGGTTATTTAGGCATTAAGCAGCTATTTAAGAGGATTTAAATAACCCATTATACCCTCACTGGGATAGACTAGGATTACTCACACGGTCGATTATTACATCTCAGCTAAAGGAGTGACATCTTCCATCCACTTCAAAGAGGGCTTTAGCTAAATCAGAGAATCAAAGAATAGTTCGGGTTGGAAGGGACCTTTAAAGGTCATCTTGTTCAATCTCCCTGAAGCAAGCAGGGACATCTTGAGCTAGATTAGGTTGCTCAAAACCCTGTCCAACCTGAGCTTGAATGCTGGAAACTGCTTGATGATACCCCTAAAAGAGAAGGATGGGCTATTCTTGCAACTACAGATACTCCTTGTTAGTTGCAGTCCCCGTGTGGAGACAGTGGCTGTGTCTCTGTTGATGAATGAAGGAGAGCAAGGGACTGGTTACTGACCCAGGGGCTGAGGTGCACTGCCTGGTTCCTGTCTATGTTGCCTAGCATTGATCAGACCTGTCTGGTTGGAAGATACTGGGAGACCTGAAAGACAGGACCAAGGGGTGAACTTAGAAATAACAGGTGGAATAGCCTGCAATACAGAGCTTGCTCCCTGGCTTTCTTTCATTTAGGACTGTAGATGTTCTCAGTGATTCAGATTCACCCTGCGTAACTTGCAGCATCAGAGCAAGGTGCTTGTGGTAGGAGTGAGAGCTGTCTGGGGATTTTGTATAGAAAACAGAGAAAGGCTGACCTCTCCAGAAGGCAACTGACCCCATCAGAAACATAAACAGGTAGCCTAGGATGTCTGTCTCCCAGGGCAGGTGGGGTGAATCTGGGCCACTGGAGATGAGGTTGCAATTACCACTCCAGTGTTTCTGTCCTACAGCAAGAGTGCTCTGGTAGCAGGTACTTCAGGGACCCAGGGCCCTGTCTGAGGTGGCTCAGAGATTTGCCATGTTGACTTGCATTCCCATTCTTTTTTCCCTCTTTCCCCCAGTTGTTTTGACACTCAGAATTAAATGATCTGTGCTCCAGGATCACCCTTCTCTAATAAGATAGTGGTCAGTCTCTAGTGCTCTGTGGGCTCTGCCCACCTCTCTGGGACAATAAGTAATCTGGCACTGCTTACATGGAGCAAATTCACTTTACTTTTAAAAACCATTTGCTATGCTGGTTCTGTAAGCCCTGCTTATATACAGATTTACATGGAAATAATTTCAAGTGTTTTAATTATACCTTCTTCTGGTGCAACGGTGACTCTTCCCTTGGAATAAATATTTCCTAATGACAAATACTTAACAAGCAATTTCCTGTTTTAGTTTTACTTGGACTGGTTTACTTTATGTTTGTCCAGCTTGAATAAAATCCAAGATAAGACTCTGCATGCAAGAATTACGCAAAAGAATATACATTTAAATTTAAGTATGTTATTTCTATGAACATTTGTGTGTAAACCAGCATTTACTTTCCATGTTCCTCAATGGTTGACAACATGGGTTAAGCATCACAAAGTCTCCATTGACTTCATCATAACAAGAATAAATAATTTCTTTTGTAATCCTTGGTGTTGTATTAGATAATTTGTTAAAAAAATAGTCTTACTATTTCTTTTCAAATCTCCTCTACACATCATTTTGTCAGCAGTAGTTCAGAGAAAAATATGTCAAAATTGTTAAGACAAAAGTCACAGGTGGTATGAATATTTGTAGAAAAAGATATTGAGGAAAATAAAATTATACTTGTTTTTCATCAAGGTACATTTACATCTCTCTGTATCCTGATTAGGTGCTGCTTTGTCTCTGAAGTGTCAGGCCCGTCTGGGGATTAAGAAACAGCCGATTGCTGTTGTCACATGGGATGTGGATAACGTTCCAGTGAAATACTTAGGTTTTTCAAGATTTCATGAAAAAACTCATTTGTAAGTACATATAATAGAATAATCTTCCTTCTATGCAAACTGTGCCTAGCCATTAGAGTTAACGTTACCAGCTCTTTCTCTTTCTCTTAGTTTTGAAGGACGTGAGCAAGAATATTACAGAGAGAGCACTTTGCATATTACTGAAATAAAAGAGGAGGATCTGCAGGCAAATTTCACGTGTGTAGCAGTGAACGAAATGCACAACACAAGGGCCACGGTGACTTTACAACTCAAAGCGCAACGTGAGGGTAGGATTTGTTTGTTTTGTTTTCTTACACTTTGCACTCAGACTGAAATATGTTGGTGATTTTATTTTATTATTTGTTTCTGTTAGTAAGAAAGTTTCTGTTGGTAAGAAGAAAAAATTGCCTGCTTCCTCCCTACAGATTCACGTCAGTTTCAAAATTCTTGTGTCTTCATTAGGTCATGAAAGTCCTTGGGTTAAATCTTGCTGGGAGAGGGCATTACTCAGATGGTACCAGTGAGAGATTAAATATGCAGCGCATGACTCTATCAGCCCTGTGATAAGAATATCCTGTTTCTAGGATATTCCCCTTGCCTTGAAGGCAGGCAGTGCACTTGGATTTGAAGCACACTGGTATAGTGTAGTCTGCTCTACAAATACTCAGGCTGTGGAGGATCCTTTGCAGATGAGAGCTGTGCAAGGAACTGTCCTCTCCTTTGGTCATCAGTGTTACAATGCATTGTAAGGAGCAGAGGTTCATCTTCTTTTGAGAATCAAACTGTTGTTTCTAGTGTGGAACCATGGTAGAAAATAGGAAAACCTTAAAACCAAGAGTTTCAGCTGCCAGTTTGGCAGTTTGTTTGTCTTCCCTCCCATACCACATCCACTGTAGTGCCTTGTTTTTTGACTTTATGTTAAGTGGCGTGACTAACTTCTGTGATGTCTGTCTTTATCCTCTCTCCCTCTGAGCACCCCTGTTTTCACCATGTGCCACACAGAAGTGTGAGTAAAGTTTCAAAGGCTTTCCTTTTTTTTGAGTTTTTAAATTCATGCTTCTAGTAATTTCTGCTGGAGAAGGAAAATCTAGGTCAGTAAATGTAGGGCACTAGAATGTTCTTTAGCTCCTATAGGTATTTTCTTTTAATAGGGATAATCAGATCCCTAAGCACTGTTGTTAGCATCACTGAGTTAGGATCTTATGGCAGAAAATCTCACTGTGTCTGTGAAGGCACAACGAGGAGCTAC